TTGAAGCTTTTCTGTATAAACTTGTTCACTACGAACATGATGAATATAATTAAAATTGATTTCTTCATGAACCACTGCTGAAAAATTATGATCTTCAACAATTGATATAACATCTAATAAAGCTATTTCTTTATCATCAATATTTAACTTCGAATCTTGATATTAGTGCTAATTTATTAAAGAAATATGAAATTTTGCTTGTGAACTCTTTCTAAGAATTCTATAAAAATGTCTACATAGAATACCATATAATATTAAAAGGTTACAGGTACAAGAAAAACTTCTATCTGCCATCAAAACTACAAAATGTGATTTTTTTTGTAACAATTCTAGCTTAACTTTCCAAATTTCAACAATTAATAAATTTTGTATCTTTCCGATTATAGTTTGAAGTAATATTTGTGTTGCATCATAATCATCTTTCCAAAAACCTTTATTATCATCTGTATTATTAACCTAAATAAAAGAAACAACAAAATTAGCAACCATATAAAATTTTTCAATTCATAATAAATTCACTTCTAAACCATAAACGGATCCTAACCATAACTCTAACCTCTAATCCTGACCCTAACTCTAATCCTAACTTTAATCCTAACCTTAACTCTAATCCTAACTCTAATCCTAACCCTAATTTTAATCCTAACCCTAACTCAACGCTATTCTAATCCTAAAGCTACTCTAAAACCTAACTTACTTGCTAAATAGTATCTTTATCAACCAAGTATGCATCGTAAAAAAATGAATGCTTCATCTGATTTTGTATTGCTGAAAGAATGTGTAGAGTTAAAAATTCCTTACAAATTTCATTAATACCTACAAAAAATTTTGAAGGTATATCATCCAAAGTTTGTCAAGGTAAAATATTTCTCATTTTGATTATACGTTCATATTTCATTTCATTATTGAGTATTTTTTGAATCTTATTGGCGAGTTGATATAAAAGAAAATTTTTTTGGACAGCAGCTTTAAATAGATGATTAAGGGATTCTATTCTTTAAGTGCTATTTATTCTACAATTGAAAATTTCATTTATATAGCAAGTAATCCAATTTTCCTTTGTTGATTCAAGCATTCGCTTCAAATATTTTGATATTTCAGGATATTTTTCAATTAAAATTTTCCATTTTGATTCAAAAATCTCATAAACAAGACTATTTAATACAGCATGAAAAAAATTCAGCCTGAAATTCACTAAATTTTTGCAATCCAAGTTTTGGTTTCACATTATTTTTAAGGTTAAGATCAATATGAAATATGCACAAGTTGTACTTTGATGTTGGGAAAATAAAACTAATAGCATTTGCCATAGCAGGGTCACAATCAGTATATATATATAACACGAGGATAAACATCACTTGAAACCTTTTTAAGTTGTTGTAATACCCAAATAAATGAGTTTTCTGTTTCATCTTCTAGCAATGCACTTGCTATCAATCATGATCTTGTATTATTATCAACAACAAGAAATAAACATAGAACCATATCATAATGATTTGTTCTAGCTGTACAATCAAAAATTAAGACTTCGTGAAATCTAATATAGTAAGAACATTGATCAGGTGATATCCTGATTAATGATGTTAGTCTTTGATCATTTTCAGATAAGCAAAATTCAAAGAACCATTCAGGTTCTTGTTGTTTCTAAAGATAATGTAAAAAATTTGCACTATCATTTTTAACAACTTCCTTTTGCCCAACCTTAACTTTTTGAATAATGTTATATAGATTCTTTTTAAAATTAGATGATCAGGATACTTTGCTCGAAGTAATGGATATATCTGTGTAATGCTAAATATACCATGTTTCACATAAAATTAAACATTGGTAATCATTTCTAGAGTAAATTTTCTAAATTTAGGTGCTATTTCTGCAATTAATGGATTCATAACATGATTGTGTTTAAGTTTAACAGATGTAATACCTATGGTATTTTCTTTTTTAGGTTTAGTTGCATTAACATGTCAAGAACAATTAACCTAATAACTACCTCTATTTCTTTGATTATCAAAATTAATAATCTTTTTTGATACATGATTACCAGAATGAGTACACTCATATGTCCTTCGCTTAACATAAAGTTTTTTCTGATAAGCTGTTAAACCTTTTATTTCTTCTTAATGCAAATAATACTTAATCCTTGTTTTTTTAAAAGAAAATCCTTTCTGTAAAGCATATCGTTCAAAATAACTCAAACTTCAAGTTTTTCCCAAGTATAAAACTTTGCACCTGTAATTATCATATAATAAAAATCATTTTCTTCATCACTAGAATCAAAATATTCATTAATAGGTTCATTTTCTTCACTGCTAGAATCAATAATTTCGTGATTTATATTTATTATTGGGTAGCTATAATGTAAGAAAGGTTAGAGTAAAAGAAAAAGAAATAAATAAATTATAAATCATGAAAAATCAAAATAATTGATCAAAAAGCTTAATAATTAAATCAGGTGATTATGTAATAAATCACATGGTCAGATGAAAATACCTGAGGCGTTACCTAGTTAATTTCTTTAAGTATATTTTAAATATAATTTAAGTATTTGGGCAAAAAACAAGTACATTAAAAGCATATTTTAAGAGTATTTTAGGTATATTTTGGATATATTATAAGTATATTGTGAATTAAAATTGATACTAAAATATAAAGACTTTTCATAGGGATTTATTATTTAAATTAAAATTTTGCAACTTTGGCCAAAATTATAAACTGGCATAACTTCAGCAAAATTGCTAGAATTAAGTAATGATAATTACCAGTAGTGATAATTACTACTAGTAAGATTTAACAATATCCTATATTATTTATATTAATAATAAAATCTCACTTAATTATACAGTCAGACATCCATACAGTCACACCCTATATAGTCACACCTCTTTATAAGAACTTGATTTTGAGAAATGGTTTTAAATACTATCAAATTACCCATTTATAATTACAATTTGACTATAATCACTATCATCGCATAATCCTATCATTTCTATTAGTGATTAGACTTCTATTAATCACATCATAATTTTGGCCAAAAAGCAATTTTGCCTAGAATTATGAAACACATAATTTTTTTTTCCTTTTTAGGAATTAATGTTACATGACATTCCAACACAAAATCGGCAAAAAATTTTTTTGTGAAATGGCTATCACCAAAAAAGGAAATATCTGTAGTGATCAAATAATTTTATAAATTATAATTTACTAATTTCGGCCAAAATTAAGATATAGTACCTGTATATAAATACACCCCTATACAATCACTGATTTTATGGGAACCAATTAGGTGACTATATGGGGGTCTGACTATATATAAATTATAATTCTAATTATATATTTTAATTTTAGTTAAAATTATAAAATCATATGATTTGAATAAATATTTAATTTTTTTATTAGAAAAATTTTGTAATTTTGACTGTATTATATCTGGACAGAATTATAGAAGTTTGACTATATATATGTTTACTAGTAAAATTCAATTTTCAATTTTTAAATTTTATTAATAATTAATAATTCATTTTTATTAAATATTAACTAATATAAAGTATTATATATAACGCATTTTTATATTTATTTAATCATATTTTCATATTTATTTATAAGTATACTAGAAGTTGCCAATTAAAACTTGACTTATCTGATTATTTTAATTAATTAAAATACTTTATAGGATTTTGGAAAATTTTTTTACTTTTCAAAAATATTATTCATTTTATTGCTAAATATGTTTCATTTAGTATGTGGTCAATATATTAATGGATGTAATTGAAATCCTCTTAATAAACTGTACTACATATACATTAATTAAAAGGGTATTGCTAAATATCACCAGTGGTGACGGTTACCAGTGGTGGATTTATGATGTAATGCCGGTCAGTGGTTTGTTAAATTTTAATTCAGGCCAAAAGTGCATCTTAATGCTGGTATGGTGACAATTACCGCTGGTGAGCTTTAGCAATTTTCAATTAAAAATTATTATTATTATTATGGAAATAATAATTTTACGCAGGTGCGTTAAAATTTTAAACCCTATTATTAAATTAATTAATAATTGTTTTATAAACTCTAAATAAAAATTATTTTTATTTGTAAGACTTTTGTAAAATATTAAAGGTATTCTTTAATTTGAAATATTTGAAAATAATTTTTAGTTTATAAATATTAAGTTGTCGAATAGAAATTTTGTCAATCTTGACCAAAGTTAAAATTTGTTGATCACCTATCAAAATTAAAGTAAATATTTGTATTAATTGCATCCTCCGCAATTTTATATAAATGGTAATGAAGGGGTTATAGTCGATCCAGTGCAGGATTGCAGATGCATTTAATATAAATTTGTTGCACGTTTTTGCTTATTTATTTAGGCGAATAGAGTAATAGAATATTGATCTCTGCGATTTAAAATATGGCCTTTATATTTGATCTTAATTTTTTGTTGTCCAGATGATTGTAATACCATATAGATTGTTACGCCTTACGAGAGCTCATTCTCGCTTGTACGACTTTAGCTTGATGGCCTAGGACCTCAGTCACTACTAATTCGTATTGATCAAAAATGTTATGTATGAAAGAAATAGGGGGACACCGGGACGGCATTTTAATAATTAACACTAAAATTATATAAAATCGAAATGGTTAGGTAAAATTTTGGACTAATATAAAATAAGCAACAGTGAACACTTTTTCTTGATTGGTGTTTTGACAATTTCTGCAATAATCCACCGTCTGCAGCTCCATATCTAGTTTCGTGCTCGTGCTCTTTGTCGAACGCGTACAGTACTACAACGAAATTGTTAAAAACATTTTTCATCGATTTTTTTTGGTCTGGCCACTCCTTTGATTCACTTTCAAAGAGATTTATTTAAAAAAGTGCGAAAGTGCGTGCGACTTTTTATATTCAAATTTCGGCTTATCTTCACAGTCTTTTTCGTATTGATCAATATACATCTTATATATTCTTTTCAGACCCAGTTCCCCCCCCCCATAAAAAATATTCCTATATGATGAGAGAAATCGTCCACTTACAAACCGGCCAGTGCGGCAACCAAATAGGTGCTAAATTTTGGGAAGTTATATCAGATGAGCATGGTATTGACTATTCTGGAACCTATACTGGCGACTCTGACCTTCAGTTAGAAAGAATCTCCGTATACTATAATGAGGCTACTGGTGGTAAATATGTACCACGTGCTGTTCTCGTTGACCTTGAGCCTGGTACCATGGATTCTGTTCGTGCTGGTCCTTTTGGACAACTTTTTCGCCCAGATAATTTTGTTTTTGGCCAAAGTGGCGCCGGTAACAATTGGGCAAAAGGCCATTACACCGAAGGCGCTGAACTTGTAGATTCTGTATTAGACGTTGTCCGTAAAGAAGCAGAATCTTGTGACTGTTTACAAGGTTTCCAAATTACTCATTCTCTTGGTGGAGGTACTGGCGCTGGTATGGGCACCTTGCTCATCTCAAAAATTCGCGAAGAATATCCAGACCGTATGATGTGCACATTCTCAGTAGTTCCTTCACCAAAGGTACTTTTATTGTGAATTTGTCTCATGTTAGAGCTTCACGTTTATCATGTTTTATCGTGTACAGATTTTGACGCGTTAAAGAGTCGCGTTTAACATTTATTACGCGTTAGATTTATAATTTTCACATCAATATATCGATTTGATCTACACGATGCTTAACAAACCAATTGAACAATTGAGTTTCTTTATGGTTATTAGCTAACAATGATTGATAATTCATTATTTCTTTTGAATATAGGTATCTGATACTGTCGTTGAACCATACAATGCTACATTGTCAGTACATCAATTGGTCGAAAATTCTGATGAAACCTTTTGTATCGACAACGAGGCCTTGTATGACATTTGCTTCCGTACATTGAAATTGAGCACCCCAACTTATGGTGATCTCAATCATTTAGTATCTGCTGTTATGAGCGGCATTACTACATGTTTACGATTCCCTGGTCAATTGAATGCTGATTTGAGAAAACTAGCCGTAAATATGGGTAAGTTTGATTTTTTACTTTAAAAAAAACATTATATATCGCCTTGCTTACTTATTGTTATATTATAAAGTTCCTTTCCCACGTCTCCATTTCTTCATGGTCGGATTTGCTCCATTGACTTCCCGTGGGTCTCAAGGCTATCGTTCCTTAAGTGTTCCAGAATTAACCCAGCAAATGTTTGATGCCAAGAACATGATGGCTGCTTCAGATCCTCGTCATGGCCGTTATTTGACTGTTGCTGCTATGTTTAGAGGTCGGTGTTCAATGAAGGAAGTAGATGATCAAATGTTATCTGTCCAAACAAAGAACAGTTCGTATTTTGTTGAATGGATACCTAATAATGTTAAGAGTAAGCATAAATCATTTCTATCACCTTGAAAAATTTTTTTTCCCCTATTATTTTTCCTAACTTGATCTCCTACTTAAATAATAGCTGCCGTTTGTGACATTCCACCAAAGGGTCTTAAGATGTCAGTTACTTTCATCGGCAATTCAACATCGATTCAAGAACTCTTCAAACGCATCAGTGATCAGTTCACTGCTATGTTTAGGCGTAAGGCTTTCTTGCATTGGTACACAGGAGAGGGTATGGACGAAATGGAATTTACTGAAGCCGAATCTAATATGAATGATCTGGTATCTGAGTAAGTTATCCTTTTCTTTTATCAACAACTTCGATTTTTAAGTTAAATTTAATAGTAATTATATTTTCGTCTAATTTAACTATAGATACCAACAATATCAAGAAGCTACAATTGAAGAAGAGGATGGGGAATATGAAGAAGATTTAGATCAAGACGCTGATGTCTAAATAGATAAAACTCATTTTTGCAATAATAAACGCATTTATCTCAGACATTTTCATCTTATATTTTATTTTAATATAGCACATTTCGTTTTTTAAAAAATTTAAACTTATTAATTTTTTTTCAATTAGAGAGACAAATTTCACATGTAGCTAATTTAAAGCTCGTAATTAATATAATAATGATAAAACAATATACGTAGATTTATTTTTCAAATTGTATCAGAAAATTTAATTTAGACAGTTATTACTGTGATAATAAAGATTTAAATTATAAAACAATATAACAAACCGAAATCAAGTAATTAGACGTTTAAAATAAGGAAAGATTACCGATCTTGTATTTTTCACCCCTAAAGTTACTACCCTAAATGCTTTCGGTTTTTACCTGAGCTGACAAAATGCTATGATATTATTATATATATTTGCATTTTTGCATTTTTCATATTAAAGCATTAGTTTCAAACAATTGGATTCAAGAGGGCTGAAATGGGCAAAGTTGCGTAGTAGTGATTATAAACGATTTTTTAAGTATTTATATGATATATGAAGTTGATGATAATCCGTATTACTATAAAATATATGTCTCCCGAATTCGAGAACCTCAATATTTTGAACGATACTCAATTACACCCAACATCACTATAGGTTTATCCAAAATTTATGTTGTAAACGATCAAAAGAGATAAATAATTAGGTACAGCCGTATAAGTTCCTTAAGGTTGAAGATGGGAATTGTTCTTTTACCGGCAATTGCTGCTAAAGGTTCCTGCAATGAACACCCAACGGAATTTACCGTGAAAGTTTTGCATCATGTTCCTTAACAATTCCCCAAGAAATATGCGATGGTAGAATTGGTAGTTGGCACCAATCACCTCTTTTGAGTTTATAGATGATTGGCTACCTAATCCGATCAAATTTTCCCTATTTGATCAATAAAAAACTTTAAAGCCCTTAAATGATCAAATTTCTTTATTTGGTCAATAAAAAACTTAATAACCTTTAAATGAATAATTACCTTTCATTCTTTATGTTGGCCTGTCCCGTGATCGCCGATCTACCCTTTTACACTTCGAACACTTTAACAGTCACAATTATCTAAACAAAAACGTGTGAGAAATTCGGCTCTGTTTTTGAACGATTAACTTTTATTTTACTGGAATAATAGTTATTTATCTAAATATCATCCGAATTTTTTCTTTCCTGAACTTATAATGTTAAAAACAATCAGTCTTCAAACTGATGGTGCGAACAAAAAAGCAGCTAAAAAGATAACCTTTTTGGTAGAAATTGCCAACTATCTTGTGAACCATCAAATAGGTAAAATATCTTGAAAATTTTACTTGTTTAGACCTAAAAAATAATTTTTGATTCTTTTATGACCTTTAGGTTTCCCGATACGTGTTTTAGCATTTCTTATATTAGCATATTTTATTTTCCCCGGAGCAGAAAAATTCTTTTTCCTTCAGCATGGAGATCCAAAAACCGGCCTTTATAAGAAAGGAAAAGACGACGTGTATCTTATTTTCACTTGGATTGCACTTTTTACTTTCTTACGTGCTGTTATAATGGAATACATACTTATACCTACAGTAAAACTTGGCGGAATAAAGAAAGTTAGTCAGCAAACAAGGTTTGCTGAACAAGGATGGTCGTTTTTGTATTATTCAATTTTCTGGACACTTGGTATGGTAAGTTAAGACCCGGGAATTTAGCCACAATTGATTTTGTCTTACTCCCAAATTTGCCTTTCTTTCAAGTGAAGTAAAAAGAAATATAAAGAAATATATATTAGAAAGGGTTTGACGAATTAAGAATGAATTAATTGATTGGGCTTATGAATTCTTTCCTTGCATATTGAATTGATTTAGTATATAATGTCCAAATCACCTTATTGGTTTGATACTGCATATTTTTGGAAAGGTTACCCACATGTTGAAATGCCGGGTCTTCTCAAGTGGTATTATTTAGTACAATTGGCTTTTTGGTTTCAACAAGTTTTTGTCATTAATATTGAAAAGAGACGAAAAGATTATGTTGAAATGTTAGCCCATCATGCAATTACTATTTTATTGATCTGTAGTTCATATTCAATGAATTGGACTCGAATTGGGAATGCTATTTTATGTGTTATGGATTTTGCAGACATTTTATTACCAGTAAGTTAATTAATTTGGTTTAACTTTTCTTACCTATTTACTATTTCTCACTTAAGTTTAACTTCCTAAGTTTGCTAAAATGTTAAAATATTGCGGATTCAATACGCTTTGTGATGTTGTATTTGGATTCTTTATGATTTCATGGGTAGTGACGCGTCACTTCTTTTTTGGATATATAATATACAGCACAATGTTTGAATCTACACAATTTGTAGAACTTAAATGGGACCCAGAAGAAGAACACTTTTATTCAAGAAAGACGCAAATATTTTTCGTGACTCTTTTCTTATTATTACAAGCACTAATTTATTTTTGGTTTTATTTGATTTGCCGTGTTGCATATCGAGTAATTATGGGCGACAATGCACATGATAATCGAAGTGAATCTGAACAGTAAGTAAATTATTATTACAATAATTTTTTAATTTTCACATATTATAAATTATATCCGTTTATTTTATTTTAGTGAAGAAGCTGAAGCAAATATTAATCCTGGCCAAGTATATGATTCTACTTCTGAAGATGACTTAAATACAGATAATGAAGATGTCAATTCTGAGAGTTCTTCATCACAGAATGAAGTTGTTAAGGATTGTAAATTAAAAAAGAACTGAGAAAAAGGGGTCATAGACTTAATAATAGAAAGTAAATTTATTTTTAACTTCAGCCAATTTTTTATTATCTTATATAATTTAAATAATACCTGAAGTATTATTAAAAAAAATTCATAATTAATTTATGACTTATAAATTAATTAATAACTTTTGTAAGTTAAATAATATATGTTAATTATTAATTTTTTATATTTTTTTTTTAAAAAAACACTAATTCAGTTAAATTAATTGTAAATATAATAAAGCAAATTAAATTATTTTGCTACCTAATAAAATTTAAAATATAGTATTTATTAATTTTAATTATACTAGGAAGATTACCTACCTTAAAATTTTTATATATAAATTTACCTTAACTTTTATTGCAATTCTACTGCTAAAAAGGAAAAAAATCAGAGTAATATTTCTTTTCTTATATATAATTTATCTAATATAATAAGATCATTAAAATGTTTTACATGTATTATTATCAAAAAATCAAAAATATAATAAGTTATAATATATTTGATTATTTAACTATTTACTTAAATGTATATAATAAACTTCTATTATTATATAATAATTTATTATTATATTAATATATAGTAATATAAAGTATAATAATTATGTAAAAGGATAACTAATAATTATAAATATATAATATATTAAAAAAATAATTATACTAAAAAAATCTGATTCCTATAAAATTACTTATTTAATTCCTTTAAAATTGGTAATTATATAGAAAAGTAATTATATGAAAATTTTTAATATGTGACTAGAATTGTAATTTATAAATAGATTTTACTATGTATTAATATAGTAAATAATATGTATATTAAAAATTTCTGTATAATAGTAATTATAACTAATATAAAATTCTAATTAAAATATTTTAAATTAAAGGTTTAAATAAACTCTTTTTAATGATTTTATAATTCATTTTTTCTGAATAATTTTTTAGTACTTTAATATAAAAAAAATGGTTCAAAATAACTCAACAATTACTAAAAAAAATTAACAAATTCTTAATAAACTTTTAGTCAACTTAAAAATATTCTGCATTTTTGCACTTTTAATAATCATATAGTTGCATTTATTTTATTAAATAAAAAATAAATAAAATAATAACAGTACTATCTTTAATGAATATATATAAAATTACTATCAAATATACTATTATTCCAATATTTTAGAACAGTTTAAAGATAAAAATATATAGTAGTATTTAAATCTATTCATTTTTATATTTAAGATACAACTTTAAAATTTCACTAGTGCATTAAATATTCTTTATTAAAAAATAATAAAGTAAATGTTCAATTAGAACCCCAGAAAACTAATATAGAGGTCATAAGTGACTTTTGGCTAAAAACACCACTTTTTGCCAAAACTCAAAAAATCGTTTTTTGTAAATATCTCAACATCCAGTGATTCAATTTTAATGAACATTTTTTTATTTTGTAGCCCTCGTTTAGATCTACAATTTAAAAAAACATTTATCAAAATTGGACTACTGGATGCCAAGATAATTACAAAAACTGATTTTTTAAGCCCTTAAAAAATGGGTTAATTCGCCAAAAGTGTGACTTGATCCCGATCTGCCAACTCTTTCTTGTAGATTCTTGGTCAAAAATTTTGCAGAAAAATTTTTATTTCTTCATACTAACACAACCTTATGTTCTACTATCATGACTAATAAAAGTACTAATAAAGCTGGCAGTAACCCGAAAGGGGTCCTGCTAAGCGCAAAGACAAACAAAACAATAATAACAAAGACTCTGACCCTGATGTTTCGAACTCTGACATCAAATAAACAAATAATAAGAAAGGGCCCCTGAATATACTATTAAGAACCCTGTCGTACACTTTTGAAATTTTTTGGAAAGTTATATCGTACTGTAGTACAAATTTCCTTTTTGGGTGCTTATGTGAAGTGACTTTTGTCGTACACTTAATAGTCAACAATAAAAAAAATTTGTCGTACACTCAATTAGTGGTAAAAAGACTTTGTTGTACACCTAATTTATAATATAGAAAGTTTTGGTGTACACTTTTAACCAAATTGATAATTTTTATTATTAGTTATAAGATTTATATTAAGACAAAACTTAAAATAATTGCACATTAATATAAAAATTAATAGTTGAGAAGTTACGATAACAGGTTAATCATTTTATATTATTAATTTATTAATATTTAATGAATTATTTTTCACCATTTTTTCGCAATGTTATATAAATATATTTAAAAAAGTATTTACCCAAGATATATAAAAAAACTAATAAATATTATTAAATAAATTAATGAAATTTATTTTAATTGACTTATTATTAAAAAACTTTTATTAATAAATAACAAAAATGTTTCTTATTTAATCTAATTAGCATAGTCGTACATTTTGCAATTTTATTCAATTGCTTTGAATGTACATTTTGGCTAAATTTGGAGCAAATATTAAACATTCATCGTACAATATAAAAAAATTTTTGCTGATGTCATACATTTAAGCAAAATTTTGCTGTACACTTTGACACTTTCTCAGACAAAGTTCACTATATAACAAACGTTCATATTCAGGGGCTCTAATAAGAATAACTCTTTCAAACGTACCTGTATGCTCTCTAAAAACTTCATAGAAGAAGATTTCATCACCGACTCAGCGGCTGATGCTGGAAGAAGCAATACTACTCCTTCTCAACAAAATAATACTGACAATTTTTCATTTCCCCCTCCCAAAGATACTGCTGCGCTTTCTGTGCCTAGTTCTGTCGCGTTTGGTACTGACGCATCCATTGCATGCTCCAAAGGACAAAGAAACTTCCCCCTAAACACGTCTCCTAATAAGAATATTATGAACACCAATGATGCTTCTCCTCCTCTCCTTGATACGCCCACTATTACCATTCTTAGGCATGACTATCAGGCTGCTGCAGCACCTAATGTTTCCTCTGAATTTGTTAAAAAATATCCTACCAATCAAGCTATGATTGATGCTATCAACAACCTCCTTTTGGAAACTTACCATTCATATACTGGCCGTGCCCGCATCTCTAGTTCCGATGACTTTAAAAGATTGGTTATCCACTTTAATTCGATCAAAGAACGTGATACCTGCTTTTCCCTCTAATATGATGATCTTGCCGATCTCCAGTTTTTCCTACACAATCCACAGCAACTCTGAACTGATGAAGATCTCTGCACTATCCAAGTTACTGATATCCCGTTCTTCATCAAAAAAGATGATGTTACTGCTCTTTTCAAAAAGTATGGTAATATACAATTATGTCGCCTTCATACACGTGCTAATACTAAAGTCCAACAAGCTTGCATTGTTTACGATGATGCTTCTTCCATCTGGCATTTCATTGACAAGCAGTGGGCGATTTATTATTATTCCACTTGTTTACGCATTACGCCATGTTCCCTTACCCTTGATCAAAAGAAATCATGACGTGAATTTGTTGCTGTTTTGTCTCAGCTCTCTTTCAATACCAAAGATATGCATTTAGCGTCCTTAGTACGAGAAATTGCGCTATGGCCATTAATATCTCCCTGTCCCTTAATTCTTATAAACCTAAAAGATGGACTTACATCACTTTTAAATTACAACAAATGATGGACACCACGATGGAACAATCAATTGCCTTACAAGGTCATAGACTCCAATGGAAACTCCTAGAGAATACCAACAAGCTTTGTCATAGATGCGGCAAACTCAGCTGCGCCCCACTGCATGCTCATTAAACCACTCTAGAGGTCGCTCATGTACTCGTAATCCTGTTGCATACTTAAAAGAATGCTTCAATATTGGCCAATCAAACAACAATAACTCTTCTACTAATCGCAGTAGACAACGCTCCTGTTCTCAATCCAAAGATCATTCCAATTCCCAACAGCGTAACAATTTGGCTAATTATACTGAACGGACTAATAATAATATCAGTAATACCTCCTTGCCTAAATCTACTAATTCTGCTGATCTTAATCAATCTGCTTAACGACCTCGATCTAATAAGCGTAAAAGCAAAGACTGTTCAGTTTCCTTTTCTACTTCTCAGAGTATTAATACCTCTGCACCTAACTCATCTGGCCATATTAAAACCTTCCTTAGTCAATCCTAATTGCCCCCAAATTTACAAAATCTTTTCAGTGCTTAAAAGTCTTCAAGAAGACATGGCTAACGTACGTGCTAGAATACATGCTCTCGAATTAGCTGACCAAAGGATTTCTTAGTTGAAACTTCGTGTTTTTGGACATAAGCAAGACAATGTTCTCACACCTGATCCTAATGATTCTCCACACATACTAGTTGATAATCACCAAAGCATCCCCTTATAGGACCCCAAAAAATACATATGGAGGTCATAAATGATCAGAAAGATTTTGATCTAAAATAAGCAACTTTTCAGGGCCGGAATTATGATAATGCTGGTCTGTATCAAAACGGACAATAAAATTTAGGCCGGCACTATCTAAAAAAGGCAAGATTTTCATGAAAATTTAGGTTCTTTTTAAGCAAACTCAAATGTAACCTTTTTATATATTTTTCGGGGTCCTCCCCTTATATAACACAATCTTACCCGCCCAATTTGATCAGGTCCTTTTCTGGCCCAGTTCTCCCTCTTCCAACAGTCTCTGCTTCTTGTCTCAACATTTTCTCCTCTCCCATCCCCGAATCTGCTGATGAAGACACTATTAATAAAGAATGTGCTGAAATTTATTCCTTCTAACGATCTTTAGATAACAAATTTAATCACTTATCCAGCTCTATTGAAAGATTTATTAGCTTCATTTCTGGTGGTTCTTTCTCAGACTTAGTCAATAAGATTTCGTCTGATTAATTTGTTATCCTTCCTTTTCACCCTACAATTTTTATCATGGTGCATTAATGATGAACAATAATATAGATTATGATAACTTTATGCGCAATCCTCCTAACCCCGTTGATTATAATGATATTTTTAATGATTCTTTATCTGATACGTTATTTTCTTCTTCCTCAACCTCCCCCATCCCCAATTCATTTAACATTTCTTCTTTCAATGTTAATGGTCTTAAAACTTCTGGACAAGGTTCCTTTAAGATTGATCAAATTTCTTCATTTTTTACTCAACAATATATTTCTTTTGATGGTGTCGTTAACACCT